AATAGCCCAAGGTCTATTTACAGGAACAGTATCAACTACCAGGCCCAATATAGTCTTTAGTGGGCTAGCAAAAACCAAACCAAACCTCAAACACCAACTAGCCTATAATTAAGCACACACACACACACACACACACACACACGCACACACACAGGCATATAAGAGTATATGCCTATATATTTCTAATTTCCTTTAAGTTATCCCAGTGAAAGAATAAATAATAAGTGTGAGGACCAAAAAACATGATCTGTGAAAGTTGCTTAAATGGAGAGTAAGCATTTAGAAACTTTAGAGCATAAACCAAGATATTGTGTCAGACAGGCACCAGGGGCTTATGTCACTGGGCTGGGTGTGGGCCAGTTTGAGTGTTATGAAATTTACATGAGTCATGTGCAGTATGACCCATGCACAAGTCCTGTGCAGGACACTTAGTGAATTTGAAAAAAATTAGAGAAATATATATTATAAATTTAAACCCCATAGACAGTTTGAGCAAGATTGCTTCAGTTCTCCCTTGTAACCTGAGAGCTCTTATTGTTAATCTGGGATGAGGAAGTTGACAGGGAGCCTGAGGACACACCCAAAGTTGTACATATAAAGTGAAAAGAAACTGGATGTTATTACAGAAGATGCGCACTCAAGATGGAACGGCTCCAGGTTGCCCTGGACGCTCTAGATTCAATTTCAGCTAGCTTATTTCTGTCATTGTTTCATTCTTTAGAGTAACCCCAGAGTCAGTAGCGTCTTGCAAGCTGTACGCACTAAGCAATCTAGGTGGGCATTGAGTGAACTATTCTAACTTCAAGGCAGGAACTGCAGTGAGGATGGAAAGCTGAGACTTTCTAAAGGCTAGGAGACGGAAAAGACATCTACCTCGAAGGCCGGAGGACTTGCTGACTGCGTGGATGTAGACATGAAGATTATAAGTCTCCGTTAGAAGCTGAGAATATTAGTGTTCACTTATAATTCCTGTGCTTGGGAGCCTGATGAAGGGTGAGCATAAATCCTAGGCCATCCTAAACTACACAGCAAGGTCTTTGTCACAAACAAACAAATAAATGGACCCGAGATGTATTTGGTGGAATCTCCACTTTTCCCCATTCAGTTAGAGAGTAAGGTCGTCCATAGCCCAACCAGAAACCTTGGGTCACTCGGAACTCTTTTCTTTTCCCTTGTCCCCAATATTCTGTCACTGTCTGGGCCCTAAGTCTCATTATTCTGACTTTGTCTTTCTCACACTGTGTCCCTTGTGCAGGACTTTTGCAACCACTTCCTAAACAGTCACCCCACCCCAGGCTCTTCCCCATTCTCCTTCTTTCAAAATTGAAAATCTAGTAGCCTTCCTGCTCTGTTTGAGACCATAAAATGGCTCTCAGTTTCACTTCTAAACTGAAGCAATACCTTAGCTGCATCTATGGCCGTTCATGGCAGCTCCTCACACAGCTTCTGTATGGCCAAGAGTTTGTGTACAGTCTTGTTTGCTCTTTGCTTGTTGACCCCAGGGATGTGCCATGCTATCCCAGGCCTCTGTGCCTGGTGTTCTCCCCTCTCACACCTGGCTGGCCTGGCCACCCATATGAGATTTTTATTTCTGCTCTTATGGGTTACCACAATCTCGATGGCTCAAAACTAATTGAACATCTTATTCTTTGGCGATTAGAAGCCTGAAATGAGACCAACTGGGCTCAAGTCCAGGCCTCAGCGGAACCAATCACCGTCCAGGACTCATGCAGAAAATCTGCTGTTCACTCTTTTCTTGTTTTAGTGAGAGACCGCCCCCACCCTTTGCCTTTTTGTAAATGGTTGTATAACTCCATCCTGTTTTCTCTCCACAGCTCTCCCTCTCTCTTTCCTGCCTCTTTTTTAAAAAAAATAGAAGACCCTACCAGGCCCACTTGAGTAGTCTAAGTTTTCAATCTGCCTTGATTTTGACCTAACAGAAAACTCCCCAGTGCCTCATAACCTTACATTTACAGATTTAGAAAGGGGACTTGTGTGGGAAGTCATTACCCAAACATCCAACTCCAACCGCTCTACAGCTCAGCTGGGATGCTTTCCCTCTGCAGCACACTCTCTGGATGTGCCTCCTTCGGGCTGTCACACGCATGCCACCATGGTCCACTTGCCATGCGTGCTTGCTTTTAAAGCAGATCTTGTTTCTCTACTGTGCTCTAGTTTCCTGAGGCTCAGCTTACTTGTCCTCATTCCCCCTCCCCGTACCTAGTTCATTACAACATATGTTAAGTGTGAGCTAATTTTATTTATCAAAAGTCAAAGTCCCAAGCACCCGGATGATTCATTTTTGTGTTACTTCGGCATGAAGATTTAGTTAATGACTAAAATTGAAATAGCTTTAGATGGTAGTGCAGGCCTTTAATGAAGCATGAAGGTGGCAGAAGCAGGTGGAGCTCTGTGAGTTTAAGGCCAGCCTGGTTTACATAGGGAGTTCTAGACCAACCAGGGCTAAATAATAAGTCCCTGTCTCTAAGTAAGTAAGTACGTACGTAAGTAAACAAAATAGATAAATATGAGTTAGTGATAAAAACTCTTTCCCTCTTAGATACCTTTTGTAATCTTCTCAAGGCAGAATCAATTACGTTCTCCTTTGAGTTATGAAGGTATCTGGTCTATGTCTACATTACATGCTTTATGTTATGTTTTACTTTGTTACTTTGTATATGCTCCTGCTTGTTTAAGACATGGCCAGTGCTCAACATTGTTTAGTAAGTGACACTGAGCATATACACAGAGGAGCATGAAGGGCAACAGACAAAAAGCCAAAGATCAAAAGGCAAGGAGGAAGGACGAGACAGAGGAGATACTTGCAGGGTATTTAGAAGACCCTAGGACACAGAGCGATGCTGGCTGGAGCTAGTACTTATCCTCTCACCAGAGAGCAAATGGGTCCAAACACACCACTGAAATCTAGAATTAGGCAATTAACAAGAAAGGCCCCTGGATCTGACCAGGAAGCAAGCAATCCTAGGGTTCCAGGAAGGTCTGGGAAGGTCCCCTCTGATCCTTGGATCTGCTTCTGCTTTTAAATATATTACTCAAATAAAAGGAAAACCAGAACTCATGTGGGATCATGCTGCTTGAGTGCTGGTGATGTTTACCCTAGCCACTTCTGTGTTGGGGTGGAAGGCTTGGTTCTTTTGTGTGATACAGAGATGCTCAAAGTACTGGGAGGTAGGAACAGCTCTCGGGGGAAACCCCCTTTCATAAGCTGAGACTTTAGCTATGGAGCACAATCTGGCTGTCCAAGCTCCTTAGCATCAAAAACAAAATACTAAAGCCTGGCTTCAGAATTAAGAGCAATTTCTCTTCCGTAGGATGTTTTTGGATGGGGGGAGGTGGTTCTCCGATCCAGAGGATGAATGTTTTCCTCTGCCAGCCTTGAGCTTGGCTCTCCTGTCTTTCATTAACACTGTCTTCAGCCTCAGATTTAACCTATGATCTACCTGGCTAACCTTTGTCGCCAGCTGTCTGACATAACCCTCACAGTCTTACCTATACAAACTCCTATGTCTGCCATTCTCTTGGATTTTTGCCCCCCCCCCCAAATTTTGCCTATCATATCTTTCTATCATTTGCACATCTCCAGACATCACATATGTGAGGCATTCCCACACAGGAAATGAGGATGGTTCTTGAGGAATAAGATAGTTAATCGAACAATTGTATAAAGTTCATATATATGTGCATTCACATAGACTACCAGGATAATATATCCGTGGAAAGCTGATCTTTATGTTCCAATCTGCTTCAGAGGTCCAAGAACCGGGAACACTGCCTCCCTACACTGGGGGGAAGACACTGTGTGTTTTACTGGAGTCTTCGATGGGTTTACAGTGCTGGTGGGTGTGATCAGAGAGCACCAAAGCCATTGTAGTCTTATTTCGGGAACAGAGACACACCCTAAATCAGTGTGGTACTGGATTTTTGGGCAATCCTTAGCCTGGTACCATTGCTGTCCAAAATCAAACACCACAAAGTAGTATTAAAATTTCAAGATGAGAGAAAAATAAATTTAAAAAGTTCCTCAGAGCAGCAATAAAGAAAAGACGGTGGTGGATACTGTGTGAGTGAGGAGGCTGTGGTTCAAGCTACAGGAAGAGCACCAGAGAGCACTTTAGGAGGCAAGGGGGTAGCCATTTTGGATTAGATGAATGAAAAGCAGCTTGGGGAGAGATTCCAAATCAGCAAGTGACTGTGAGCACTTAGGAGCAATTAGCTAGCTGCCTCTTAGTTTAATCTCAATGTTTATGTTTCCTGCAGAAAGAGTATCAATGTCTTCTCCTTTACAACTTTTCTTCCTCCTCCTCCTCCTTTTCCTCCTCCTCCTCTTTCTCTTCTTCCTCCTCCTTCTCATTCCCCCCTTCATTCTTCTTTCTGTTGGCTTCCACAGTCTTAACTCTTCAGATGTTTGACAATCCCCTTGCTTCAGGCTCCCAAGTATTGGACAGCATGAAACCATCACAGCTACCTTTTAGTCCGAGCAGCTGCCCTCTTCCCTCATCTGCTTCAGCAGCTTTTATGCTGATTACACACCTGCAGCTAACTCCTCCTCTACGTTTTGCAATACAAGACAAGAAAAACAGTGCCCAGATTGTGTTTGTGGAAGCGTCTTTCATGGCATCCTTTCAACGGGTTGGGCAATTTAAATGATGCAGTCCTCTTGTGACTAACTCATTACCACGCTTGAGGGAAACCTGAACATCCTTAACCTACTTCTGAGAGGAGAGGCAAGAAAATTATAGAAGAGGAAATAATCCGAGGGGAATGTGCTTCTTTGAATGACAGACGCTACAAGTTCCTTAGCTGAGGCCAGGGCAACGTAACAGACGAGAGAGCTCAGAGGAAGTCGATCGATCATTTACTCGATCCCTCCAGCCTGTGACTTCTTTGACTTTTGAATCCTTGCATGTCTGTTCAGATAAATCTCACACAGAATGGGGTCATCTTCCATACTTGACTCCTGTTCTTTCTTTCTCTCCTAGTCTCCTGCTCCCACCCTGAGTGCTGAAGCCAGGGTGATGTTGGGCTGCAAAGCTGAAGAGGGAAGGTGAATGAGCCACAGTGTCCACTTAGAACCCACAGCCAAGTCTTGGCAACTTATCCGTGGTAAATCTTGCTTGCTTTCAGCTTTATGTTGGCTTTATCATCTACTCTTGTGTGCTGAGCTCTATTGATGGATCTTATCTTCAGCCCTGTGTACCCAGAATGCCCAGGCTAGAAGCAGCACACAGAAATACTCAAGATCTTCTTTTGAGGTGCCATGTTGACTAGGAAAAAAAATAGTTGTTTTAGTGGATCTGACATCATTTTAGAAATGAACAGCACTTAATGTCTTGCTAAAAATAGTTGGACATGTAGACACAATTTTATTCTTCCTTTCTGTCCATATTTGGCACACTAGACAGAGGATGAGGAAGAGGGAAGATTTTAAAAGCATTATTCTTAAGTATGATGCAAATGAGGTATGACTTTAGGGCCCACAGAATTATCTGTACCCTACTTAGAGGGCCCCTGACTATGGGAATGTAGATACAAGGATAGGTGGTGAGTCATTAGACAGTTCTTTCAACTCCCAGTCATTTGCACATTATAATATCATTTTAAAGTCTTAGAGATTCTTACAACATTAAATGTATCCATCCAATTCAATATAGTGGATATTTGTGGGCTGCCCTGGCAAACAGGACACGTGGATTTTAATCCTTGGTAACACGCTGGCTGATGTTGCCATTTTCAGTCTGCTTACTTCTCCAAGATGTCTTGAATGGTAGAAAGCAGACAAGCTGTGGAATTATTGTGGTATAAGTCCAAGCTTTACCTCTACTTTATGTTAGCTTTAGAACTTGAACAAATCATTCACCTTCTGTAAGTCTCCATGTCTTTATTCATTGAAAGGAAAGATGGCGCTCTGAAAGAACATGATGAGATTATGTATTCGAGACATCTAGCACTTAGGAGTCACTCTGTGAGTGGCTGCTCTGCAGGAAAGTCAGGAAACATGAGGTGAGCTCATGGGCTAACCATGCTTTCTAAACTCACAGGATCACTAGGGAATGAGACCAGCCACACAGTAAGTAACTCAAGTTCTTTTGGTCTCTGTAGTAACTGACCAATACAAAAGTCAGCAGAGGCATGGGTAGGGTTGTGAGACAGGAGAGAGAGAGAGAGAGAGAGAGAGAGAGAGAGAGAGAGAGAGAGAGAGAGAGAGAGA